TCTACCTATCTCTCCTCTGCCTCTCCCCATCTACCTCTCTCTCCTCTGCCTCTCCCCATCTACCTATCTCTCCTCTGCCTCTCCCCATCTACCTATCTCTCCTCTGCCTCTCCCCATCTACCTATCTCTCCTCTGCCTCTCCCCATCTACCTATCTCTCCTCTGCCTCTCCCCATCTACCTATCTCTCCTCTGCCTCTCCCCATCTACCTATCTCTCCTCCTGCCTACACCCCCATCCCTCTCCCCCTATCCTTCTCACCCCATCCCTCTCGCCCCATCCCTCTCCCCCTATCCCTTTCGCCCCATCAATCTCCCTCATACCTCTCCCCTTATGCCTCTCCCCCCATGCCTCTCCCCCATGCCTCTCCCCCCATGCCTCTCCCCCCATGTCTCTCCCCCCATGCCTCTCCCCCCATGCCTCTCCCCCCATGCCTCTCCCCCCATGCCTCTCCCCCCATGCCTCTCCCCCCATGCCTCTCCCCCCATGCCTCTCCCTCCATGCGCTATCATCCAGACAACATCTGCCAATGGGCCAAGTGCCCTGCAAACTCCAAGTGCATCAAGACGAATAATAATTACGGGGTGGCATGCCAGTGCATCAAGGGCTACCATGCTGTCTCCGGCAAATGCCAGCCGCAGTAGCCTTCCCTTTGACTTGTAAGCCCTCCCCAGTGGCTTTCCCTCTCTCCTTTATGGGGTGGCATGCCAGGGCCTCAAGGGCTACCGGGCCGTCTACGGCAAATGCCAGCCGCAGTAGCCTCCCCTCTCACCTGTAAGCCCTCCCCCCTCACCTGTAAGCCCTCCCCCCTCACCTGTAAGCCCTCCCCAGTAGTCTCCCCTCTGCTCTGCAAACCTCCCCACTAGCCTTCCCTGTCCCCTTTAGGATGGTGGCCTGCCAGTGCCTCAAGGCATGCCGTGCACTCTTTGGCAAACGCCAGCCGCAGTAGCCTCCCCTCTCACCTGTAAGCCCTTGCCTTCAACGTGCATTCAGAGCAGGGTGGCCTGCCAGTGCCCCAAGGGCTACCGTAACGTCTACGGACAATGCCAGCCCCAGTAGCCTCCCCTCACCTCGCGCCTGTAATTCATCTTGGGAATTCACCATGACATGACGGTCGATGCCGGTCCCAATAACCTCCCCTCCCTCTGTAAGCCGTAGCTCCTCGGGCCTTTCCCTCCCATCCTATCCTCCCTCCCCCTCTCCCACCCCGTTCTGCCTTCTTCCTCTCTCCTCTCTCCCTCTCCCTCCTCCCCATCTGTGTGCTAATCATTCATTCTTGCCTTGTCTGTTGCACAGCCCCCTCCCGACTCTGCCTCCTTCTATCCCCTTCCACGTCCTTCTCGTCTCTCTTCCCTTCCCCTGCTTCCATCGTCTCCCACCACGCATCTGTGTGCTGATCGTTCATGCTCGCCTTGTCTGTGGCATGCAGAGCCCTCCAGCGCCAGCCCCATGCTGAGAGCCACTGTACAACCCTTCAAGCCTAATAAGCAGAGCCCCTGATTAGCAAAGCTTCTGGATAGCAAAGCTTCTGGATGGCAGAGCCTTTGGGTAGCAGAGCTCCTAAAGAGCGCCTCGACTGGCAGTGCTGCCACGAATTTCCTGGGGTGCCACTTGGGGAAATCAGAGCAGCGGGTTCTCATCTAAACACTCTCAGGACAGGAGTGGCTTATTACACAGACACCAAGTTCGTAGAGAACGAGGGGAGGTAAAGACCTGACAGCAAGCCAGACGGGGCGGCCGGACACGGCAGAACCGTGGAGTAGTGGGCAAGGACTGGACCCCCAGAGGGGTCCGCCAGGGAGACTGCAACCGGCCGACTAAGCGGCGTGAGTGTGGTGCAGTCGCGAAAGAAGGAGCGGGAAGCACCTGAGTCAAGCGTGAAGGTGTACAAGGCCGCAGCAGGCGCAGAACTAGAGAGAGCAGACCCACCAGCACCTGGAGCAGGAGACGTACCGGCACCTAGAGCAGCAGCCTCACCAGCACCCAGAGGAGGAGACGCACGAGCACCTAGGGCAGCAGCCTCACCAGTACCGGGAGCAGCAGGTGCTATACCAGGGTCAGGCGGGACGCACAGGTAACAGGCACGGTCAACACTAGTAGGCAATGCATACATGGCAGTGAGAATAGCATCATAGTCAGGAGCAAAGATATCTACCCTCTGTCCAAGCAGCTCCAGCCAGTCGGGGAGCTCAGCCTCGTCGCCAAACACTGTACGCCAGTCGTCGCTCAGACGGGCGAAGCAGCAGGACTGTGTGTGACCAAGCGTCCCGCAAGGCTGACCAGTCCTATCACCTGTGCGAAGGACGTACTGGCAGCGAACTGTACGCGTAGACCTGCTACACTGAGCGTACCACTCGTGGAGCTGCCGGGACGTAAGTGTCTCGCGTGGACGCCGCTGCAGCTGCAGCTGGCCACTGCTAGAGGCCCCCAACTGACCAGCTCCAGGGCGACAGCTACGACGGCTACCGCGACAGCCCCAACTAGTATACCACTCACTAAGCTGCTGGGGCGTGAGAGACTCGCGTGAGCGTTGCTGGAGCTGCATCTGGTCCCTTGCTAAGAGCTAGCAGCAGCAGCAGCTCGGGCAGGGCAGGCGCGGCAGGCCGGCAGACAGACAGGCAGGCCGGCAGGCAGGCAGGCAGGCAGGCAGGTAGGCAGGCAGGCTGACAGGCAGACAGGCCGGCAGGCAGGCAGGCAGGCTGACAGGCAGGCAGGCAGGCCAGCAGGTAGGCAGGCAAGCCGACAGGCAGACAGGCCGGCAGGCAGGCAGGCAGGCAGGCAGGCTGGCAGGCAGGCAGGCAGGCCAGCAGGCAGGCAGGCAGGCAGGCAGGCTGGCAGGCAGGCAGGCAGGCAGGCAGGCCAGCAGGCAGGCAGGCAGGCAGGCAGGCAGGCAGTCAGGCAGGCAAAAAGACAGGCAGGCAGGCCGAAAGGCAGGCAGGCAGGCAGGTGCTCACCAAAGGCTGGAAGGGCAGGTGCTCGCCGGGCGAGCAGGGCCGAGTAGGCGCACGACTGCAGCAGCGATGGGGCCGTAGTAGCGACTGTAGAGTAGGGCCGCAGCAACTGCAGGGTGGGGGGCCGCTTCAGCGGCAGTCGCAGAGTGGGGGCCGCATCAGCGGCAGGTCGGGGCCTCGGCAGCAGCAGCGAGGGGCCGCAGCAGCGGAAGGTCGGGGCCGATGCAGCTGCAGGCTATGCAGGGCAGCGCGCGGGGCTGCTGTGGGCCGAGCGCGGGCTGCGGGAGGCAGAAACAGGCCGCGCGCAGCAGCAGCTGGCCGCGCGCGGCTCGGCAGGGACTGCGCGCAGCAGCAGCAGGCCGCGCGCGGCTCGGCAGGGGCTGCGCGCGGCTCGGGGGGGGTCGCGCGCGGCAGCAGCGGGCTGCGCGCGGCTCGGCGGGGCCACACGCAGCAGAAAACGGGCTGCGCGCTGCTCAACGGGGCTGCGCGCGGCTCGACGGGACTGCGCGCGGCTCGGCGAGGGCTGCGCGCGGCAGATCCGGGCTGCGCGCGGCTCGACGGGGCTGCACGCGGTTCGACGGGGCTGCACGCGGCTCGCTGGGGGCTGTGCGCTGCGCTGACGGCGTGTGAGGGGCAGCAGAGCGGCGCGAGCAGCGAGGGCGACGCTTGAGGCAGCAGCGGGCAGCGTGCGTGACTTAGGTCTGCGCGGTAGCAGCAGCAGACAACACAGTAGGCAGCAGGCAGTAGGCTACAGGCAGACGGCGCGCGCAGCGCAGCACGTCACAAGCACAGGCGTGGGGTAGCGGTAGGTGGGCCCGAAAAAAAACGGTCCTACGGACCTACTGCTCTGAAACCATGTTAGAATCTAGAAGCAGGAATGATGTGCATTGATGAAGAGTTGGGTACATAAGCTAACCCTAACATTGGGTTGTACCCCATATGGGCTACCCCACTAGCAGCCTACACAAACACAATATGCATAGTTTGACAGCTGCTGGTCCCGTTGCGGTTCCTTCCTCTGTCTGCAGGCCAGAGGCAGGAGGTGGAGTAGGAGTAGTCCCGGGAGAACCATTAGAGGAACTCCTCTCCTTGTATGTTGCCATGTCGTCTGTTGATGATTTGACAGTAGTTGAATTTCCCCTGATAGCTCTCATACCATGTTGGGCTGAGACAGCCCTTAGGATCTTTTGCAGGGGTAAATTCGGGGTAGGATAATTGTAATAGCGGAAGCGTTTAATGGAGAAACTTGTGAACCACCTTGCGCTGGTATGTGAGGGCAAAGTAAGTTGATTAAAGCAAAGAGATACAAGCATTTATATATGAGTACAAGGAATATGAAAGGATACGGTTATAACTACTTTACTGTTGCTGTTGCGGTTCGATATAGTGACGACTCGGGCAACTGCTCTGTAGCGAGTCAGTTGTGTGTCCTTGCTGTCGCGCTGTACTTGTCAGGTCAAAGGTCGCTGACCTTTGACTTTCGCGTAACCTCCGGCAACCTCTTTCAACCTCCGAGGGTTGACTCGCGTGTGCCTCAATATGGTTCGCTTCGCTTCTGGTGTGATGTTTCGACACGACAGAGGCGCTTAGGATTATCTGTTTCCAACAAAAGTGAGTGGGTCTGTCTTCGAAAGTCCCAAATTGCAGGTGCGTGACTTTCAAAAGCTTGGACAACCCACTTCGTCAAGTTTTAAAAACTTGACTCTCGCGCTCCGCAATTTGGGACGCGGGCTTTAAAACAAATCTTATGTTCTGGATTTCCCATGTTTTCCAAATACCTCTTGAAATCTCTTGTGCTTTAACATTCATGTTAGATCCAGATGTGAGGTTTCTGACAAGTACTGGTGTACTCCAAACACTGTATCTCGAAATTATACATTCTTCATCCATACATCAACAAGAGCTTATCATCAATAGACACATGCCGGCACTGAACAAGCGAACATCCCTCCCTGAGCTTCGCACTAGGCATCTCCTTAGCGTTAATTTCCGAGACACCTTAGAATCAGCAGAAATCAAGTAACCAGACAGGCAGGCGGGCAGAAGCTGCTCTAAGCCATGCGCTGCGCCACCTCCTTGGCGAGGATGCGCTCACGGGCCTTCATCTTGGCCTGCGACTTGATGCCCATGATGCCGCCGCCCCATTGGCGCCTCAACTCGTCGCCCTTGTCGTTGAAGTGTGCCTGAGGGGGGGGGAGGGATTTGGGGGGATTGAGCACAAGCCAGGTAATCAGGGGGGTTAGGAAATGGGGAGACGCATAGATGGCTTCACACCCAACAGCCCCATCGGCTACGTCTGCCTTGTCCAATCGATTCACCTTGACTCACATTGACTCACCTTGACTGACTCAGCGACCTTGCTGAGCCCGCTCTCACTGACCTCACTGACTTGCCTCTGACCTTGTCTTTCAACTCCCCTTGACTCACCTCCGTTTACCTGCAAGACTCACCTCCGTTGACTCGCGTTGACTCACCTTGACCGGCTCCACGATCTTGCTCAGCTCGCCCTTGTCCTCGTTCTTCGCCGCTGTGAGTGCCAGGGCAGTGACTCACCCTGTTGACCCCCGTTGACTCACGTTGACTCACCCCGTTGACTCGCGTTGACTCACCTTGACCGACTCCACGATCTTGCTCAGCTCGCCCTTGTCCTCTTTCTTCACCGCTGTGAGTGCCAGGGCAGGGACTCACCCTGTTGACCCCCGTTGACTCGCGATGACTCACCCCGTTGACCCGCGTTGACTCACCTTGACCGACTCAACAATCTTGCTCAGCTCGCCCTTGTCCTCGTTCTTCACCGCTGTGAGTGCCAGCGCAGTGGCCGTCTTCTGGTGCACCACCTGTGATGGGAGCAAACAAGGAAACAGGACGGGCATAGAGGGGACGTTTGAGTCGAGTCAAAAGTCTCCTCGTTCTTCACTGCTGTCAGCGCCAGGGCAGTGGCCGTCTTCTGATGCACCACCTGTTTTATATGACAAGGTAGCAGTCAAGGGACCATGGGAGCGTAAACAGAATAAAGGCAACAGGTGAGCAAGGCAGGCACAGAAGGTGATTCCGATGCTGCTGTCAGCGCCAGGGCAGTGGCCGTCTTCTGATGCACCACCTGTTTTATATGACAAGTCAGTGGTCAAGGGATCAAAACAGCACACACACAGGATAGAGGGAATGCAGCGGTCAAGGGGATGAGCACACAACCAGTTCAGGTACACCCTCTGACAAGGCAGTGGCCGTCTTGCGGCAGAGCGCCGCATCTGACCGCATTGTCTCTCAACCGCTCTGAACCTCACCTGACCGAGTCGGGACTTGCTCTTGACGATGCAGTAGGGCACGCCCATCTTGCGGCAGAGCGCGGGCAGCCAGATGACGAGCTCGATGGGGTCGACGTCGTGCGCGATCACCACCAGCTGCGCCTTGCCCTGCACGATGCCGGGGTGAGACAGGGCGAGGGCGGGGAGAAAAGGCTTGACACGAGGGTTTAAGCGCGAGTGCAGCGCACAGGTAGGGGGAGAGGAGAGGGCAGCCAGATGACGAGCTCGATGGGGTCAACGTCGTGCGCGATCACCATCAGCTGCGCCTTGCCCTACGGGGGGGAGACAGTAGACGGGGGACGGGGGAGAGGCGATCACCACCAGCTGCGCCTTGAGAGAGGGGGGACGGGAGCGGAAGGGAAGGCGAGAGGGGGTGGGAGGGTTGAGCAAGGGAGAGAGAGGGAGGAGGAGGGGGGGGAAAGAGGAAGTGGAGGTTGGCAAAGGAACGGGTTTGTATTGAGGTACGTGATGTGGTTGATGCCGCACTTCACCACCACCGGCTTCTTCGACTCCACCGTCCTGCCCTCTTCCCCTAACCACCCTGTTCCCTTCTGTCCCCCCATGTGCCCCTCCTTCCCCTCTCCGTATGTTTTTTGAGAATTCTCAAAAAACTTCGACTCCACCGTCCTGCCCTCCTCCCTCCACCACCCTGTTCCCTTCTGCCCCCCCATGTGCCCCTCTTTCCCCCCTCCCTCTCCCAGCTCCACCCCCTCTCCTCTCCCTCCTCTTACCTGTTCAATGAGGTACGTGATGTGGTTGATGCCGTACTTCACCACCACCGGCTTCTTCGACTCAACCGTCCTGCCCTCCTTCCCAATCACCCTGTTCTCAATCATCGCACCTGCTCGATAAGGTAAGTGATGTGGTTGATGCCGTATTTCACCACCACCGGCTTCTTCGACTCAACCGTCCTGCCCTCCTTCCCAATCACCCTGTTCTCAATCATCGCACCTGCTCGATAAGGTAAGTGATGTGGTTGATGCCGTATTTCACCACCACCGGCTTCTTCGACTCAACCGTCCTGCCCTCCTTCCCAATCACCCTGTTCTCAATCATCGCTCCTGCTCGATAAGGTAAGTGATGTGGTTGATGCCGTACTTCACCACCACCGGCTTCTTCGACTCAACCGTCCTGCCCTCCTTCCCAATCACCCTGTTCTCAATCATCGCACCTGCTCGATAAGGTAAGTGATGTGGTTGATGCCGTATTTCACCACAACCGGCTTCTTTGACTCAACCGTCTTGCCCTCCTTCGCCGCCTCAGCCGCCTTCAGCAGTCGCTCCTTCTTCGCCGCGCGGTCCTCGGGGCGGTACTTGAGCAGCAGCTTGAACAGCGACGTAGCTGTTTGTGCGTGGAGGGGTGGAGGGGGCGGGGAACGAGGGGCGGAAAAAGGGGAAAGGGAGCACAAGAAGTGAAGGGGAAAGCAACGAATGGCACTTGGGGAAGAGAGGAAAGGATGATCTTGGGGAGGGAGGTAAGAAGTAGTGAAGGGGGACGCGTAGCGTTAGCTGCACCAATGGGGCAGCGCGTACCGAGGATTTTGTCGAGCGTCTTGGTGAACTGGTTGATGGCGGGCGGCACCTTGAGGCGCTGGTTGAGCACCCGGCGCTGCCGCTGCAGCTTCTTCTACTTATAACGCGTCTACTACACTATAGCGCGTTCACTATACTGTAACGGAGCAGCGCGTACCGAGGCTCTTGTCGAGCGTCTTGGTGAACTGGTTGATGGCGGGCGGCACCTTGAGGCGCTGGTTGAGCACCCGGCGCTGCCGCTGCAGGCGCACGTACTTGGGCCACTTGACGAACCGGTGAAGGTTCTTCTTAGGGGGGAGAGCTCCGCCGATTCCGAACGTCTTCGGGCGCCTCTCGAACAGAGGGTTGGTGACCTTGTCGGACTGGGGGAGGGGGAGGACGGGAGGGAAGGGAGGGGTTGCCGAGGGAGGGAAGGGGGAAAGGGGGGGGGGGGGGGGGGGGGGGGGGGGGGAGAGAGGGGGAAGAAGGGAAAAGGAGAGGGTGAGAGGGAAAAAGGACGGCATTGTACATGGACCACTTGACGAAGCGGTGCACGCTCTTATTCAAGGGAAGTGATCCGCTTTGGGAAGTGATGCGGGACGTCTTCCGGCGCCTCTCGAACAGCGGGTTGGTGACCTTGTCGGACAGGAGAGTTGGGTTTGGGGTTGGCGGGGAAGGGAAGAGGTGGGGAGGAGGGGGGGGGGGGAAGAGGGACGAAGAGGGGAAGAAGTAAATGGAGGTAACTTTTGAGACTTGCCGATTCCGAACGTCTTTGGGCGCCTCTCGAACATAGGGTTGGTGACCTTGTCGGACTGGGCGCGGGTGGGGTGGAGGGGAGGCGAAATCGGAAAGTAAAGAATGGCGAAAGTTTTGGGACTTGCCGATTCCGAAAGCCGTGGGGGTAAAGGGAATGAAAGGGGGGTCGTGGGGGGAGGGGGAGAGGGGAGGAGGGGGGGGGGGACTGACTAAGTGCATAGTACAACAGACCAACATTTACGGAGCAGCGGCTTACCTTCTTGACCTTGGAGGGGGCAGCCGCGGCGGGCTTCTTGACGGTCTCAATTTGCCCTTGGAATAAAACCACAAAGACCTTAATCGATTTGAAGCGTTTACCAGCTGCTAGAACAGCGCAGGACTCGAGGAGCTCACCTTCTTGCCCTTGGAGGGGGCAGCCGCAGCGGGCTTCTTGACGGTCTCAATTTGCCCTCTCGGGGTCCTACCCTTGGGCGCCTGTCAACACGGCACCACGCCATATGCCACCATGCCAACATGCCCCCATGCCACCCATCATGTCCCCATGCCACCCATCATGTCCCCATGCCACCATGCCCCCATACCACCAAGCCACCACGCAACATGCCATCAACACGACAACACGCCAGCACGCCATTACACGAGAACTCGGAGAACCGTCAGAAGAAGTCAAGGACACGGTCCGTTCAAGTCAACTGACAGAAACTCCGTGGCGCCCTGAGACGGCTCGCTATTCTCGCAGGGAAAAGCGGAAACCGAAACGGAGGACTCTAACGGCGAACGCAGCAAACCGCAGCGTCCGATAAACTACCCACGCTATTCAAACGAAATGCTGTCGCTACACTCGCCGGATAGTCGCATCGTATCGCCGGGGCGTCGCATGAATGGACCAAATTGCTTCGAAACTGCTTTTCCGTCACGGCTCGAAACTGCTTTTCCGTCACGGACAATTCCGCTGTGGCGCGCCTCCCGTCAGTCCATCACACGCTAACAATTTTACGAGGAGAATAGACGGTTCGCGTAAACCTGATCCGCTTCGTAAGCAATCGAGGGAGTGGAGGGTTAGGAGTTACGCGCGTAGCTCTGTCATATGCTCATCGGTAGGAAGCATAAGATGGGGGCGGCCGTGAAATCTGAAATATCGGAGACCAATCTTGCATGTAAACAAAATCAACAGCTGCTCGTCGTTCGCTTTCGACGTAATTGGGCCGTCGATGTAAATCGACACGGCTCCTGCTGATTCTACAGCGAAAGCCAGCCGACTAGAATGCCTGAGCGACGAATGCGCTGACCGCGCGTTTCAACGATTCCAAAGAAAACAAGGCGCCAGGTGCGAACACGCACGAGCTGCGAAGTGCTTCAAAAATCGACCATGCCCGAGTCCAATCTTGTGGGAAAAACTGATGCGCATTTGTCTGACCTCTATGAGAAACCCTAGACGCTCAAATCCTCTGTTCCGCTCACAAATATGAGAAAAACGTTTACGAAGTACGAAGCGGGTTACCCCATCGATTTCGGAAACCCTAACATTCTGCTGCCGGTACGCCGCCAACCACGCGCCGTCGATATCAGCCGCGGCAACCTGCCGAATCGCATCTGCCCGTCCTGCGCTTGTTAATCTAAACCTGGAACGAACCGCAATCTCTTATAGAAGGACTGAACCCGATCTGTCGTGACGTCCGATTATTTTGTACACGCAGAAAAAACACACTGCTCTAAACCTGGAACAATCCGCAAGCCCGTATAGTAGCCGACCTGTATGACGCCTAAAATACTAAAGTTAGTCGTCCCGCAATCCCCGGCACGTACCATTCTGTTGTGTGATTCCTGTTGGCCTCTGGTGACTAGTCTACAGAGGGAAGGGAAAAGGGGATATGAAATCAAGGGAAGAGGCCTTGTATGGCAGAGCCGTCTGAAAAGATAGGCGGGGGAAAGAGGAAGAAAGGAGGGAGAGGAAGGGAAGTGTGAAGAAAATAGGCATGGGAGTTGATGAGTGAGAAGAAGACGAGGCGAGACGAGGGGAGTCCATAGGGATTGGGTTGGGTTGAGCTGGTTTGTGCTACACCCAAAAAGTTGAGTGAGGTTATGAAGCGCGAGGGAAGGGCGTGCGGTGTGAGAGAAGGGGCTGGGGAGGGGAAGAGGCGGTAGCCGAGAGACGCGGGAAATATGCGCGGAGGGCGAAGGGGAAGGGGTTTTGAGAGGAGAGCGCAGGTACAGAGGACACTGGGGGGGAACGCCAGAAGGTGGAAATAACGACATTGACTTTATGGATGTTGTATTTTCCCGGAACGCATGAAGGCATTAGTGTCCCGCATATCACTAATAAAACACTCCAACAAGTGAAAATTTAAGTCTATCCATATTTCAAATCAACATCCAGCTAATCGCTAACATCCAGCTCCTCAAAACTAACATAATGGGACGCCTTCATACATGTTACAAGCGTGTTTCCATCCAACTGAATAACGACAGTACATCAAATTTCAAATGGACCGTGAAAGCAATGCAAGCTATCAAGAGTGAAATTGAGAAGGTTGGAGTCTGAAGGGTGAGCAGTGAATTAACTTGTTCGTACATATTCCGTATAATCTTCTAGAATATTGAATGACCTTTCACATGGGCCCATTTTATTGACAAATTAGCTAGTCTCAACTCTAGGGCATTGTGCACCAACTAGCTCCTAAAAACATGCTCTTCTAGGCAGCGTAGCTAGGCACCCAGAGAGTGACTGACCTGCCTCTCTGGTTTCCCCACGCGGCAATGACTGCCTCCCATGACAGAACTGCCTCTCCAGGTGACAATTGGTCGGCGGCTCGGAAGTGATGTTGACAGCGAGGACTTTGCGTATAGAAGGCGGGAGGGGGGTTATTGGGGTTTGCATCGGCCAAAGACGTCACGGTAGCCCTGCGCGCACTCGCATGCCACCCCCCTGTAGTCGTTAGTCTTGATGCACGTGGAGTGTTCAGGGCACTTGGCACTCTGACAGATGTTGTCTGGATGACATGGGATGGGATGATGGGGAAGAGGGATGGGGTGAGAGGCATGAGGAGGAAAGGCGCAGATGATAGCAGCAGCAGCTGCTGCTCTTCGATCTCTTTGTCTGCAGCATACATGGTAGCATCAAAGCATGCATGGCGACAGGTGCAGCAGAAAGGCCAATGCATGGCAGAATCAGGGCCACAGGGGTATAGTAGCAGAAGCAAGGTAGCAGCAGAAGCAAGGTGGCAGCAGAAGCAAGGTAGCAGCAGGGCGTGAATGGTGGTAGATGCAGCAGAAAGGCCAGTACTTGGCAGCAAGGGGCACACAGCAAAAGATGGCAATAGCAGCACGAGATACATGCAGTAGAAAGGCCAATGCATGGCAACAATAGGACACGCAGGGAAAGAGAGTGCAATAGGGGGCGAAATCAAGGTGGCAGCAGAAGCACGCACTGATAACGCAGCGGATAGACTTCACTGATGCGCGCATCTTGATGGGACTGCCCACACACGCACGGGGGGAGGGGCGCATGGGAGGGGGGATTTATGGGTGTGTTCACACGCGCACAGCACAGGGGGAGGGGAGCATGGGGGAACGATTCAGGGCGTGGGGAGGGGCGGATGGGGGAGGTGTTTGATGGCACTGGTCATATGTGCACCGGGGAAGGGGCGAATGGGAGAGGGGTGGCGAGGGAACGTGAGGGGGAAAGGGGGTGGTGGAGGAGGGGTTGGTGGTGGTGGGGAGGAGGGGAGGTGGGAGTGGGGAAGGGGCGCACAGGACATGAGGGGAATTGGGTAATACACGGCCGCTGTGCCCGTAAGTGGGTACTTCTCATCTCACCTCATGTACCCCGCAAATCCATATTTCGCCGCCGCTGCTCCCGAGCAGTCGGGCGATGCGAACAGCTGCACCGCGTTGCACACCGTGCGATCCGAAAACACGTCCCACCACACCAGCGCGTCCACCGCGCCTCCTCCCGAGCCGCCGCTCGCGCCAGCGATATCGGACACGGGTTGGCAGAGGCCCAGGTCGAAGGAGACGGAGCGCGGCTGCGCGAGCGAGCCGGCGAGCACCACCGTGCCCACGCGCAGCTCCGCGTTCACCGTCTCGCGCGCCGCGCTCCCCGCTCGCCCCGCGCGCGCTGCGGTCGCCGCGCCCCTGAAACCCCTGGCAATCGTCGGCTTGCTCGCACCCGTGGTATCAGCGGACTCCGCCGCGGTGTCGCTGCCGCCAGCAGTCGCGCCGCTGGCGGCACGTGCTCCCAGCGACGCTCCCACCTCACTCGCTGCGCGGACGTCTCACAGGTTAGGGAGATTGGCAAGACAACGAGAGAGAGTGACAGGAGGAAGGGCAACAATCACCCACGATGGACTTGCGTTGCGAGTGACATGATCATGTTGAAATCACTTCGTCACGAGCATGAGCTTTTCGCAGCATGGCGAGGGACGTGTACCTATGAGGATGACGGCGACGAGTAGCGCGGCTACGAGTTGACTTTTAAGTCAACTCAAAAGTCAACTTGTGAGGCGACGAGGGAGGGGGCGCGTACCCATGAGGATGACGGCGACGAATAGCGCGGCTGCGGCTTTGGAATGATCTCCCGTCATCGTCGCGGGCGCGCGTGGCGAGCGGAGGTAGCGGCGAGGGGAGCGGTGAGGGGAGCGGCGAGGGGAGCGGTAGCACTAGCGTCGTATCACAAAAGCAGCGATTTCGCAGCGGGTCGCGGGAGTGATTGATACAGCACAGCAGGGCTGCAGAAAAAGTGGTTGGCACGTGCTCACGGTGTGATTGTCGGAGCTACGGTACTACTAGGGTAGCACGGGAGCAGACTAGCCTCACAAGGAGGGAATGACGAGGTGAATGCGTGCTCTCGATGCTCGATGTGATTGTCGGAGCTAAGGTACTAGCACGGGAGCAGACTAGCCTCACAAGGAGGGAATGACGAGGTGAATGCGTGCTCTCGATGCTCGATGTGATTGTCGGAGCTAAGGTACTAGCACGGGAGCAGACTAGCCTCCCAAGGAGGGAATGACGAGGTGAATGCGTGCTCTCGATGCTCGATGTGATTGTCGGAGCTAAGGTACTAGCACGGGAGCAGACTAGCCTCACAAGGAGGGAATGACGAGGTGAATGCGTGCTCTCGATGCTCGATGTGATTGTCGGAGCTAAGGTACTAGCACGGGAGCAGACTAGCCTCACAAGGAGGGAATGACGAGGTGAATGCGTGCTCTCGATGCTCGATGTGATTGTCGGAGCTAAGGTACTAGCACGGGAGCAGAATAGCCTCACAAGGAGGTAATGACGAGGTGAATGCGTGCTCTCGATGCTCGATGTGATTGTCGGAGCTACTAGCTCGGGAGCAGACTAGCCTCACTTAGGATTAAATGACGAGGTGAATGCGTATTCTCGACGCACTTATTCCAAACGGCCCGTAAATAATACTCCCAGGGGAGACTGGTACAAGCGGCTGCGATGGCGCTGCGGCAGCTCTCGCTGCGCGCCAATAATTGCTCTCGCTCGCGCACATAATTACGGGCCCGCGCGGCGAGAAGTAGTTCTCAGCCGGGACACCCATATATACGCCGAACACCCATGCGCGTAGAAAAACTCAAATTTTATGTGCGCACGAGCTCTGCAGAATTGCTTACTAGCAACAAATGTTCCGAGTACGCGCCCATAAACGCCCGAAACCTAACCTGCAAACGCGGCTCCCATAATTGTCTCTACTCGCGCTCCGAAAGGGCTGCCTAGTGCTTCATGGCTGTGTCAGCTTGGTGTTGCGCGTGCTGTGCTGTGTAGGGTGCGCTTGTGACGCTCGACATGGCTTTCTCACGACCAATAATGGTGTTTCCTGGCCCCTCTGCTCTTGTCAATCGAGTCGAGCCTCTTGTCCAGATGAAGCCACTTATAAAGAAACTCACAAAGTAGACAGAATAGCATGAACTCAATTGCTAAAAGAGTAATTTCCTTATTGTTATGGATGCAAAGTTGATAAGATCCTAAACAGGAACAGGAAACCCGAGTAAATCTAACAAGATGTGCAACTTTCAGGGAATTCATAGCACGTTATCCTGAAGCTTCAGGGTAAAAATTTCATGATGCGCCAAGGCTGATACCGTATCCCACCTTATTGTAGTCAATTTACTACAGAAAAGCTGTCAATAGCCACATCTCTGGCTTCCCAAATTGGCAGCTGCTGACTCCCATGATCCCATCACAGAGGTGCCGCTCCAGGCACTCTCTTATTCCTCTCCGGCTCTTTAGGGCATCAGCAGAGGCTCTTCTCTCTCTGGGCTGGACTCTGCAGGGGCTCCCTCCCAGCACAACAGTGGCGACTTATGAAAGCACTTCGAAAGTCATCTGCAGAGGCTCCTCTCTCCAGAGGCTGGTGTCTGCAGGAGCTCTCTCAGCACAGCAGTGGCACAGGAAAGGGCTCTGCAGCAGACAACAAGATAGACAAGAGTCACACAGTTGGATAGAGGCAGAAGATAGACAGGAGAGAGAGGGGAGACATGATGGTCGAGAGGGGGGGGGGGGGGAAAGAGCAGCTGGTCTCTGCAGGGGCTCAAAGCACAGCAGTGGGCGTGGCACAGGAAAGGGCTCAGCAGCAGACAACAAGTTAGACAAGAGGCACAGAGATAAATAGAGGCAAAAGATAGACAGGAGGGAGAGGGGAGACGTGAGAGGGTCGAGAGGAGCGGGAGAGGGTCGAGAGGAGGGGGAGAGGGGAGAGAGGAGGGGGAGAGGGGAGAGAGGAGGGGGAGAGGGGAGAGAGGAGGGGGAGAGGAAAAAGAGGCTTTGCAAGGGTTCCCAACATAGCAGTGGCAGTGGAGGGGTTCTGCAGTAGACAAGGTTAGAACCAATCACTAGGACGGAGGGAACATGGCGGAAAGGAATGGGAGAGCGCGAGGGGGGATAGGACAGGAGGGACGAAAGAGGGAAGAAGAAGCTAATCTGGGTCTTGTGAGGAGGGAAGAGGGTGAGGGTGATTCATACTGGAGGGGGGGGAGGTTATTGGGGACATTGGCCGAAGTCATCACACTAGATTTTCGACTCAAAGGCCGATTCGGAAGCAAGAGGGAAGGCTACGGCTATTGGGAGGCTTACAGGTGGGAGGGGAGGCTACTTGGGTTTGGGCTGGCAACTGCTGTAGACGACACAGTACCTCTTGTCGCCCTCGCAGGCATGCCACCTCCTTGGTGTCGTTCTTTGAGATGAGACGTCCCATAATTGACTCACAGATGGGAGGGGAGGGGAGGCTTTTGAGTCGACTCAAAACACGGCATTGAGAGGAGACGTCCCATAATTGACTCACAGATGGGAGGGGAGAGAAGGCTTTTGAGTCGAATCAAAAGGTGTCGTTCTTTGAGATGAGAGGAGGCATGCCATCTCCTCTCATAATTGACTTACAGGTGGGAGGGGAGGCTACTGGGGCTGGCAAATGTTGTAGCCGGCAAAGTAGCCCTTGTCGCACTGGCAGGCCGCCCCGTATTTATCATTCGTCTTGATGCACTTGGAGTGTGCCTGGCACTTGGCCCATTGGCAGATGTTGTCTGGTTCACACCGAGAGGCATGGCGGAGGGGCATGGGGGAGAGGGATGGGGGGAGAGGCATGGGGGTAGAGGCGTGGGGGGAGAGGCATGGGGGGAAGAGTGCTTCAATTGCAGTAGAAGGTGCATGCATGGCAGCTGCAGGAAAATATATGGAAATAGCAGCAAAAAAGGCATTGCATGGCAGCAGCAGGGCACTCACAGATAACGCAGCGGACGGACTTCACTGATGGGAGCAACTTGAAGGGCCTGCCCACATGCGCGCACAGGGGGAGGGGGGATGGGAGGGGCGCACGGGAGGGGGGATGGGAGGGGCGCATGGGAGGGGCGCATGGGAGGGGCGCATGGGAGGGGCGCATGGGAGGGGCGCATGGGAGGGGCGCATGGGAGGGGCGCATGGGAGGGGCGCATGGGAGGGGCGCATGGGAGGGGCGCATGGGAGGGGCGCATGGGAGGGGTGGTATGGGGGCATGTGAGGGGTGGGACACACACAGATAACGCAGCAGGCGGACTTCACTGATGGGAGCAACTTGAAGGGCCTGCTCACATGCGCGCACAGGGGGAGGGGCGCACGGGGGAAGGGAGACGCACAAGGGGGGGGGAGAGGCGCACGGTGGGAGGGGAACGCACAGGGGGAAAGGCGCACAGGGAGAGGGGGACGCACAAGGGGTGGGGGCGTGGGGAGGGGCGCATTGGGTATTAAGATGCAGCGGATGGACTTCACTGATGAGAGAATCTTGAAGGGCCGCTCAAATGTGCACAGGGGGAGGGGCGCACGAGGGAAGGGGGACGCACAGGGGGAGGGGCGCACGGGGGAAGGGGGACGCACAGGGGGAGGGGCGCACGGGGGTAGGGAGGGATCAGGGCGTGGCAAGTTGGGGCACATGTGTTGGGCAAATGGGGGGAAGGGAGGAGAAGAGGGGCATGTGGGGGATTGGGGCCGCATGAGGGGGAGTGGGAGCTTTGCTGCTCACTACTAGTAACAGATGAGGGGGAGTGGGAGCTTTGCTGCTCACTAGTAACACGAGGGGGAGTGGGAGCTTTGCTGCTCACTAGTAACACGAGGGGGAGTAGGAGCTTTGCTGCTCACTAGTAACACGAGGGGGAGTGGGAGCTTTGCTGCTCACTACTATTTAGTAACAGATGAATGCTCAGCTCACCTCACCTCATGCCACCATCATTGTTGGAGAGTTGCAGCGCGTTGCACGGGGGGCGGTTTGCAGGATCTGCTTTTGAGTCGACTCAGAAGCAGCAGGCTCAGCCCAGCTCAGCTCACCTTTCCTCACCTCACCTCACCTCACCTCACCTCATCATGCCACGACCATCGTTGAAGACTTTCCCCGCCGCTTTGCCCGAGCAGGAGTCCGTCGTGAACACATGCAGCGCCTTGCATGGAGGGCGGTTCGCAAGATCTGTAACCGAGTACCACAACGCAAGCGCATCCACTTTGCCGCCGCCGCCGCCGTTTTTCGCCCCCCCGGGTCCGGGCACGGTTATGCTGCTGCAGAGACCCGGGTTGAAGGTCACAAGGTAGGGTCGAGCGAGCGAGCCGACGAGCACACCTGTGGGCACAAAGAGGTCCGCTTTCACCAACTCGCTCTCCACGCTCGCTCCCGTGCTCACCACCTCGCTTGCGCTCGCCCCCTCGCTCGCCACCGCCGTGCCAGCGGAGGAAGGAAAGCGCGGCGCGGCGCTCACCACCGGCTTGCCGGTGAAGGCAGGTGCTCCCAGCGACGCTCCGGCGGTACTCGCTGCGAGAATGTCACAGGGGGATGGGAGAATGATTGAGTCGGACTTTCAAAAGTCGCTTGCTGCGCTCACCACTGGCTTTCCGGCGGACGACGCTCCGATTCCGTTATTTGTTGCATGGGGAATAGTCCGCTCCGCGGACGTGACATAGGGATGGGAGAATAGTTGAGCCGGACTCTCAAGAGTCGGCGAGCATGGCTGTCCCCACGCAGTGGTCCGCGCTCACCACCTCGCTCGCAGCGCTCACCACTTTGCCGCCAGGGGGAATTTGCGATTCTGAAAACATGCGACCCAGCTTGACGAAAGAATCTTGACGATTCCGTGAGCTTTTCACGGGCATGAGTCATGGCGAGGGAGGAAGGGAGGGAGGGAGGGAGGGAAGGAAGGAAGAGAAGAAGAGAGAAGGAAGGAGAGAAACCCAAAGCAAGGAGCGAGAGAAGAAGGAAGAGATTGAGCTCGATGAAGGTTGAGATGCGGGAGATTGTAGTTGGGTTTGGGAAGGAAGGGTTGGGAAGGAAGGGTTGGTTAGGTTTGTCCAAACCTCAACATTGAGGCTTGGAACATTCCAACCCATCAAAGTGAAATCACTAAGGTAGGATTTCCAACCAATCACAAACAGCCAGTTCAGTGTCACAAACTACTCTATCTTAAAGCCGGCAGCCCAAATTGCACAAGTTTTAAAAGGTTGACGCGAGGGGGTTTTTGTGGTGAGGGTTTTGGCGAAAGATTCCGATTTCGCTTTTTTCGTTTTTTTCGCCAAACCCAGCCCGCCCTCGTATTTCGCCCTGGGGGTTGGTTCAGTTCACATAAGTCCCAAATTGCAGGCACGCTTTTCTTCAAACCTTGAAAACACTAGTTCGTCAAGTTTTAAAAGCTTGACCCGCGCGGCCCGCAATTTGGGACTCGGGCTTTAAAAACAACCATACAAATGGTTCTAGGTTGGGTTTTCCCAACCCAACTAGTTGTCACATAGGCTCCAAGCCTAAGAACCCTCCCATGATGGAAACCACGGTTGGGAGAGTTCCCAAAGGGGTGTATTGAGGGGGTTTGAGCTTCCAAGCTCATTCTCAACCTCCCACTCCAACTAATCAATTGGAAATGGGATTGTTTTGCCTAAGTCATTGAGAGCTCTCTCACACAACTCCCTACACAACTTCTTCAAGTGCTTCCCATCAAAGGCTTCAACAAGACTCACATCTCCAAGGCTACTAAGAGGGGTTAGCTAGAGCTACCATTTTGTACCGGGATTATTATTAAAGCCTTGTAATCTCTACTATAATAGCCTTGGGCATTACATTGGTATCTATAGCAAGGTTCTTCCTTGGCCTTGTGTGGCCATTTGCTACTTGGATATTTTTTTTAGAGGATCCTAGATTGTGGATCTAGGAGTTCATCCAAGGAGCTGTGAAGATTTTGAAGAAATTTCAAGATCTACAATTGTTTCTTCAAGATCTACAAGAGGATCTTCAAGAACTACAACATTCAAGCTTTAATATCTTCAACACACCATTGGAGCTTGCAAGATCTACAACTACTTTCTTCTTCTTCATCAACATTGAGAAGAATCCAATTAGAAGATATTATTTCTTTTACCCACCTTTTGGTAGAAGTCCCTAATCTACCTTTGGTAGAGGAGTGTATTTTCAGATCTACAAGGACTTGTTGAGGATTACTCTCTTCAGTATATCTTGCTCTATCATTGAGGTGATAGAGAGATTTAGCAAACAAGTCAATCTTAAGAGATTCTGTATTGGATTATTCTATAAGAGTAATCAGATTTCTTAAAGATTATTATACTGTAAGATCTGTTGAGATCTCCTCTCCTTAACATGTTTCATGGCTTCTGGTCAAGAGATGGATGCTACTAAGGAGGTGCCTGTTGCTGGCAATGAGGGAGATAATGCTGCTGCTACTGCTGACATTGATCTCAACCTTGAGGATTTTGTGGTTGACATGGAGATCAATGGAAGTGAAGCTGACCTTGAGGCTGATGCTGAAAATGAGGATGAGGCTGGCTCTGATAAGGGGGTCTCTAACGAGACTGAGAACATTGCTGTCAAACTCCAGACTCAACTCACGAAGCAGAATCTTCTCATTGGAGAGCAGCAGTGCCGCATCCAGAACTTGGAGGCTGATTCTGTTAAGCTTCAGGCCTTGATTGAGAAGCTGACCAGGGAGGTGCAGTTGATCCCTAAGGAAAACGACACCTCCAGCTTCATTCAGGACCTGCAGAACACTCTCCAGTTCGTGCAGGATCAGCTCAAGAGGCAAGAGAAAAACATCTCCGTGCTTCAGACTCAGTACAGGGAGATCCGGCGTGGCAACCTCTATCAGCCTGCTCCTGCAGCAGAGCGAGTCGCCAATGCCGCTAACAGCCATGCTGCACCTGCTGCTGTTCCTCCTCCTTCTGGAGCACGTGCTGAGCCTCCTACTGCAGCTGCAAATGCCTTTGGCTCCTGCCCTTCGGCCCTGCCTCGTTTTGTCCATGGCAAAACTAATGTTGAGACTTGGCTCTCCATTGCGGAGGACTTTATGTCCATCCACAATGTGCGTAGCGAGGCTCGCGTGGTCGCTGCAGCCCTTGCCCTGGACGACACTGCGAGCAAGTTGGTGTATGCCAACAAGCGCCACGCAGAGGCGAATGGCCACCACTTTGGCTGGGAGGAGTTCAAAGCGGCCATGCTGACGGCGTTCCTGGTTCAGCCCCCGGCGCTCGAGGTGCGTAGCCGCCTGGAGAACATCCAGTGCGGTGACCAGCCTGTACGCGAGTACGCCAAGGAGTTTGAGAAAACTCTGTCGCTGCTAGGCTGCTCTTCCTGAGAGCGAGGTCATCCACCAGTTCTTCAAGGGACTCCCCAAGCACATCAAGCGTGTGCATGTGGTAAAGGGGGAGCACCAATGGAAGACCTACAAGGAGTGCAAGGAGCAGGTCATCAGCACGGATGTCCACTTCCGTGCGTACCTAGACCTCAAGAGCACTCGTGCTCAGCAGCAGCCTACTGCCGAAAGCCCTAGGGGGGGTGGTAGGAGGACCCAGACGCCCAGGGGTCGTGGCTCTTGGAAGCGGCCCTATTAGCAGAGGGGGGAATCCTCTGGGACTCAGTCCAAGAGGGCCCATGCTGGGCCTGCCAAGGATCCTCGGGATGAGGATAAGCCTCCGGCGGGCTGCCGCATCTGTGGCAAGCTCGGCCACAAGTCCTATCACTGCCGTTGGAGGAAGTTCGTCAAGAACTCCGGCAAGCCCAACCAGGGCAAGAAGCCGGATGGTTCGGGTCCTTCGGTTCGAAGGATTTTCCGAAGTCCAACTAGGGGGTGGGTACCTAGTTGGTGAGGGAGATCGAGTAGATGAGGCTTATGTCCTTTGTGATGAGGATTTTCTAAAGCTTGAGAAGCTTGCATCATGCAAAATCGCTTGTTTGTATGCCTCTTCTATTAATGAAAAATCTGTTTTTAAAACTCGATCATACCCACTTGAAAACGTTTCAATTGAATCTTTGAGAGTTAAATTTTCTATCATCTCTTGCTCGTTCAACGAGTTGCCAGCAATCATGGATATTGTGGACCGTTGTGTCCAAGAGCACCCGCTCACATCAGTGGGATTGGTGAATCGAATCGTGAAAGGAGAGTTATTCCGCCGATTTCACGAATGACATATCCTCGCAACATGGGACAAATGGCACCACGTTTGGTGGACTAGCTCCCAAAGGTTTGGACGTGCTCACAACAAATTTAGGGCGTACTATCGACCCCCTTAACTAATTGTCGCTTGTCCCATTCGTCCAAGATTTCAACAGAATTTACTGTTATTTGGACGCGTGAATGGGGACGAAGCAAGGATTCTCGTCGATACGGGCGCGTCGGTTTCCCTTGTTGATGAAACTTGGGTTACGGCACGTAACGTCCTCGTTGCAGGACCATCTTGTCCCATTCGCTTGGGTGACGATCGTGTCATTCCAAGTAAAGGACAGACACATATCGACATTAATGTACAGGATTACAGCGAAACAATTCGCGTGTATGTCCTGCCACTTTTGTCAGGTTTCGACCTCATCCTTGGCATGGATTGGTTACGAGCCAACGAAGTCAAATTGGACTTCCAATATAATATTATCTCGTTCAACAAGAATGTCAGAATCCCAGTCACTAACCACTGGGATAAAAGGGCTTGTTTAAGTAGCGGGTGAGTGCGCCCATAACCCCCCAGGCCGACGTGCCTGTAACCCTTCCCTAGGATCATCGGGGATCTCCAGTGGACCTCTGACACCCCCCCGCACTGGGATGCCCGAAGTGCACACACCGGGAATCGAACCCGAGACCTTCGCTCTGATACCATGTCAGAATCCCAGTCACTAACCACTGGGATAAAAGGGCTTGTTTAAGTAGCGGGTGAGTGCGCCCATAACCCCCCAGGCCGACGTGCCTGTAACCCTTCCCTAGGATCATCGGGGATCTCCAGTGGACCTCTGACAAAGAACGGAAAGGCAATCCACTGGCAAGTCAACGAGACTTCGCTCACTAACACACAGACGTCGAAACATCCCAGCGCGTTGTGTGTGTTGGCCAACCAGTTCGGGCATTTTGTTAAATCAGCTGATACACTATTCGTGGTACAGCTTGAAAATGTCGAGGCCTCGGAGCCAGCAATTGAGGATTTCCCTCCTCAAATGAAAATACTGGCAGAGGAATTCAAGGAAGTGTTTGAAGCCATCCCCGATGGACTTCCACCAGACCGCGCAGTGGGCCATGTCAGAATAACTGAGCAGGAATGGGATGAACTAGCACAGAGTTTGGTACAAGTAGGAAACCCTAACTTTGAGTACCCCCTAAGGTGTAACCCACTACAGCCTACATAATATAAACATGCAATGTTTGACACACCCCCATAGGCGCAGTGGGAGACAACCACAGGGTCACAAGACCAGTCAAAGCAAAGCAAAGCAAGCTCAGGGTGGATCTCAAGGATTCCACACAAATTCCGAGCACAAGCAAGCGGTCACAAGACCAGTTCACATGCAGGTTTATAACAAAGCAAGAGATACAGTGATCACAACCTAGCAAAAGTAAACAAGTAGGCATATATATATAGTGATCACAGTACAAGCAAGGTCAAGAGGTAAGCAAGTGAGGCCCAGTAGGTACAAGGCCTAGCAGCGTGCAAAAGCGCTGATGGTCACAAGGCTGAAGCGCCTTGGTGAACACATCAGCAGTGTTGGCCTCCGTGGCCACGTAACGCAGACAAAGCTGACCACGCTGCTGCAGCTCTCGAGCAAGGAAGTACCGCAGAGCGATGTGCTTCGTTCTGTGCTCCAGTCTGTGCTCCTCACACAAGGCAATGGCAGCCTTGTTGTCGACGTACAGCACTGGAGGAGAACGAGGCCGCTCTCCGAGGTCGGTCAGCAGGTAGGTCAGCCAGCGTAGCTCCTGAGCAGCCATGGCTGTGGCGTAGATCTCAGCCTCACAACTGGAGCTGAGAACAGAAGAAGAGCGAGTAGAACGCCAAGAAACTGAGCCAGAGCCAAGGCTGAAGGTGTAACCCTGGGACGACCGCT